GGGAAGACTGGAGTTCTGGGCAATCAAATCATCATCTCGCGGGAGAAGTCGAAGATCAACGTCACTTCGGAGAGCTTGATGTCCAAGAGGTACTTAAAGTATTTGACGAAGAAGTATCTGAAGAAGCACAATGTGCGGGACTGGCTTAGGGTTATTGCCTCGAACAAGGACAGGAATGTCTACGAGTTGAAGTACTTCAACATTCAGGACAACGAGGCAGAGGAGGAGGAATGAGATGGGTTCTGCGGCTGCATCTGGCTTCGTTTCTGTGTGCTGTTCCTGTGTTCTTTTTCCCATTCCTTCATGTGTGGTTGGCCCTCTCCTCCTCCCATTGCGTCACTCAATCGGTCGTTCGGTCGTCAATCAATCTGTCGTTCGGTCGTCAATCAATCGGTCGTTCGGTCGTCAATCAATCGGTCTTTTTTTTTTTCTGTCGTCCTACTCTCTTCTTGTCTTCCTCCTCGTCTCCTCCCCCTCCTCCTCCGTTTTGGGTTATTTATTTTTCATTTGGTCCACTTCACCATTAATGCGTGTCATCTTGGTGCAGGGGCCGTGCTAATCTTGCCCTTGGGACATTCATTAACATTGGAAGGAGAAGATTAGCATGGCCCCTGCACATGGATGACATGCTTTAACTCAGAAGTAGGAGTAGAGGCAGTTTTTTTTGGTTTTTTTTTTTCCGGACAATATAGGGGATCCAGACCAGGATCCGGACCAGGGGTCCGGACCGGTCCGGAAATTCCGGAATATTCCGGTTTTCCGGAAGTCTGGATGGCCCCGGGAGGTCCGGGGTCCAGGGTCCAGAATCGGTCCGGCGTAGCTATGCTAAGGAGTTCTTACCTGAAGAAGGACTCTCGCAGAAGCTCCTACCCACATACCAAGGACCACGGGAAGTCCTCAATTTGATTGGTGACCCAGATGGTCCCTCCTACATAATCGACATACGGATACATGATGCAGCCATAGCTGCATCGCCTCATAGATTATCATCGTCTGGACTTCATCTTCATCAGGGACTGTTAGCGTTGAGCTTCTTCTTCATCATCTGGATGGCGATTGGCTCTGGGAGCCTGTTTCACTTTGGCGCAGGCCACTGAGTTGGATGTCAGGGTGGCGCTGGGTGTTACCTGGGGTTTCGGTGCTATTTTTAGTTGTTCAGAGTGTTGGGGTGGAGGCGCTACCCCTCTGAGGGTAGCGCAACAGGGTTTTGGGGTTATTCAGTGCAAACGATGCTCTGAGTTTATCAAACAGTGTCAATACTGTGGTTGAGTTGTCATCTCTTCATTGCTTTCTGGCTGTGATCACTCGGTTGTCTTCTATGAATGATTGTTGGGATCTGTGTGGAGAGAATTCACCGGTTGTGTATTCTGTCACTTCGCTCCCCTGAGTCTTCCACTACGTTTCTTTCTGTTGGGCGGTGTGATACTCCACTACCTCTTCCCTTCCTTTTGTGCATGTATGGGCGTGTACGGGAGTTCCTGTGAGTGAGTGTTGATAAAATTTCAGCAGACAATCATGTTCATAACAGTTGGTATCAGAGCGGATCAGACCCAGACAGTGGCGAGATGATGGACCGAGGCAGCCATCACTATCTGAGAGCTTCTGACGTCAGGTTTTATGGAGAAACTCCATCTTCAGGATTGCGCTCAGTAGGGTGTTGGTGGAGGGTGTGTGGCGAGTGGTATGACACAGTGATTGGTGGCGATTCAGTGCTCAGTGGCCTGGGAGGCACTGAGGGGCTATTTTTAGCCATGGCGTTGACTTCACTGGTGGCGAGATACCTGGGGGTATGTCGAGTTACAAGTTCTGGACCAGGTTCAGTGAATTTGGCTAGTGGGGACTATTCGCCATATCAAGAGCTTCAGTATCACCAGGTTTCAGGAAATTTTGAACGTGGGAGCACCAGGAACAGTGGATGGAAGAAACTGGCGAGATGGCAGCCATAGCCAGTTCAGTCTCTTCATGCAGTGTTTTGACCTGAAGTAAGTGTGTTCCTTACCCAAGTCTCTGTAGCGAGTCTGATGAGTGTAATTAGACTGGGGAAATAGTAGTTGTATGTCTGTTGTCAGTGAAACTTGAAAATCGCACTGCCTGACAGCCATARCCATTTCCCTTACCTACCTACTTTGACTTCTACTGACTCTGTTTGACCTCCTTTCTGTCTCAAATTGCATCTCAGACTGTGTTACAGTATTGCGATTCAGTACCCACTGTGAATTGAGTAGTTCAGGGTCTGTATGTCAGTGATAATGAAATTCTGAAAGTTGCGCTGCCATAGTCAGTGCTTGGGGCAGCTAGGGTTTGTCATAACTTAGGTTATGTCCGTCAGAATTTCAATCTGTCAGTCACCCTGAAATCGCAATTGAGTATTTAGTCAGTGTCTGAAAGYGCTATACTGGATTTGATGTTTTGAGTCAGGTACAGTGAAATCTGTACTTCGCCTCACCCATAGTGGGGCATACAGGGTCCTACAGTGCCAGTGTCAGTAGTAGGAGTCTAAAAAAAATAGCTTGTTCAGTCACCCGCTGCATCTTGGTTGACTACTGGGTTCTGGGAATTGCTACTGACTCTCTGCGCTATTCTAATCTGCCTACTTACAGTCCAAGGTTGCATCCTGTCTATCTCTCTRACAGCGATTCTGGGGATAATCACTCAGATGAGGGTTCTGCGCTGTGAATGAAAAATCGCAAATCTGATTTTATCTGGTTTTGACCTAAACTGACCCAGGGTGACCATCAACAACCTACAGAGGCTGAGCGCTCTTCTGCCCATAACACCACGTCTCTTCTCATCAGGTGGCAGTGATTACCTCTGTGTGTGTGCGTAATCTTCATCTCTGCTTACCTCTTATCTGCCTGTTTATATTTATTGACTGTGTGAGTGGACTATCATGGCTGAAGCTGAAGGGAAGATGTCTGAAGAAAAGACCGCAGCAGAAACTTTTGCCACTCCTGAGTCTCCTCTTTCTCCCCTTGATCAGGCACTCTTGATTGCTGAGGAAGCTAGGCGAAAAGTGGATGAACAGATCGCCAAGCTCAGGAAAGAGAAAGAGGGAGCTGAGGAGGCGGGCAAGCAGGAGCAAACGAGGAGACAGCTGTTGGGGGAGGTGCAAAAAGTTGTTGACAGTGGTTCCGCCAGTGGGTATAACAAGAGTATTGCTGAGTTGGTCCTCTTGAACGACACACTCAGCCGGTCTTATTTTTCCAACTGGGACCACCGGATCACTGTTGTGGAGAGCCAGGTCTCTGCCATCGAACACAAGGTGGATCAGATGGCAAAGGACCTGACCTCTCTGGCAACAGGGATGAACAGCATTCTGCAGCACCTGAAGCTGCCTCTCCTATCCCCCCAGCCTGTACAGCCAGCTGGCCAGCTGATTACTYGGCCAGCAGGTTCACCACCTCACAGTCGTCCAGCCTCACCTGCTGGTTCCCATGCATCCACCCCCTCTGTCGCTTCTGGTACATCTGTGCAGCGAGGGCCCAAACTGACACCACCTCCTATGTATTCTGGGGAAGACCCCAAGGTGGATGTATCAGACTGGGTCACCGCTATGCAAGCATACCTGGCCAGCTTTACATGCCCAGAAGCAACAAAGGTGGGGACCATTCTTGGCCGGTTGGAGAGGTCTGCACTGAAATGGTGCACCTCCTATGCAACCAAAGAGAATGTTGCTATGGATAGATGGGCACAGCAGCTGGGGGTTGCAGGGTTGCTGAAGGCGCTGAAGACCGGTTTGCTGACAGGGAGAAGACGCGCAAGGCAGCTGATAAAATTATGCTGCTGGGGTCCCACAGATTTGAGGGCTCTCTGTCCAAGCTCTACAGTATGTTTGAGAGCTTGACATCTACACCCGATGAGATGAGTGAGTCTGACCAGCTCACCCATTTCCTGCGTGCCGCCCCTCCAGACTACTCTATTGCACTATATGCTCAGGGCCACAAGGACTGGAGGTCCTTTGGCAAAGCGGCACTGGACCTGGAGTCTCGGCTCAAGGTTCAGACTCCTTCTGAAGGAAGGAAGAGGCCTACCTCCCAGGGACAGCGCAGGAGGAAAGGCGCTCTGTTGGCTGCGGATGCAGGTTCTGATTCTGATGCATTTGAGCGTGGCAGTMCTCCATCTGAGACTGCATCYRGATCAGCAGTTGAGCCAGCCGTTCTTGCCCTGGCTGAGAATCTTGCTGCAATGTTCAAGGGAAAGTTCATCAAAGACAGCAGCAAGGGTTCAGCCAGCCAGAAGGGGAAAGGGAAGGGACGTGCCACTTCCCCTCAGGCCCAGAGACCTAACCTTCCACGAGACGTCCATTGGCCAGTCAACGTCATGGATCCTTCCACGCTTCCCTGGAGAGCGCTCAGGATCCAGGAAGGGCAGTGGCATAGGAGGAAGGACCATGGCAGATGAGGAAGGACCGTGAGGTTTGTTTTCGCTGTGAGGGGGACCACTTCTTAAAGGACTGTCCCCACATGCCTCGCAGACCTGGTACTAGTCCAAAAAACTAGGCCAGCAGAGGGAAGTGGAGTCTGCAGCTCCCTCCACTTATGCTGAATCAGATTCAGATGGGTCTGATTCTGCATCTACCCTCACTGACTCTATTGCTGGAGTTGCTGCGTCAGGATCCTTCACTTACATGGACCCTGACCTGGATGAGACATGGTATCAAACGACAAGTGACCCCTAAAAAATAGGTCCTATTACCGGGTCCAATGCGTCCTGGTAGGGTATCATCCCATACCTACATCAATAATCCTGGTACCAACCAAACTGACAGCCTGCCTCCCTAAGTGAATCAAAACTAACCTTGTCGCAATATTCCGCAAACAAAAAGGTTCCAGTAGTTGCTGCTAGAGTACCCACTCATAATATCACATCCAAAAATATGCAATGACTGCAATTACAAACACCAGCTGTTTCTAGAAGTTTTGTTCTTGTAAACCAGCGGTCGTCTTCCGGTCGGACCTTATACTGTCTCTGGGGACGACCTCTACCTCCTCTCCTAAATACATCCTCATCTCCAATGCCGTCTATGTCATATCTTCCATCCATATCCGGAGGGATCATGGATCTTCTTGAAGGGAACTGTTGACTTGTGACACACGGCAACAGTTTTGAAGCATGGAACACAGGGTTGGTGTGGAGGTGTGTTGGAATCTCTAATGTGTAGGAGGGTCCATATTCTCCGCCCTTGACTTCTAGAACCGGCCACGGTCCTCTATATGCAGAGGCAGTAACTTCTGCGAGATGTTCTCCTCAGGTGCAAACTCTTTAGCCTTGACCCAGACTAAGTCGCCTACCTGAAACTGCGATTGGCGATGGTACTTATTAGCCTATTCTATCATTCTGTGTTGGGCCTTCTTGAAGTTCTCAACAACAGTTGCTAGCTCTTTCTCGTGTTGTATTGCAAACTCCTTGGTACCGAGCGGTAGCCTGTGAATCTGGTCCCGGTTCAGTCCTTCGAATGGTCTGCATGGTCTAAAGGACTTGTGCAGCTCATTGGGAGTGCGACAAGTGGACAGGTGCACGCTGTTATTGTATGCGCTAGCTACCTTAGGTAACATCTCGTCCCAGTTGATCTGGTCGGGTCTAATGTACATGCGTAGAACTTGCTGTAGGATCTTGTTCATTTGCTTGGTATGACCGTTGGTCTCTAGGTGGCGGCCAGACGACATCAACAACTTAGATCCGTAAACTCCCATGAGTTCTTGCCAGTTCTGGCTGGTGAAGCGACTATCTCTATCGCTAACTATTGACAACGGGACTCCATTCTCGCTAACCCAAAAATCAAAGAACTTTCGTATAACTTAATTCGTACGTGCCTCTGCAGGCAAGGGGACAAAAACAACATACTTGCCAAATCGGTCAATTATGACCATGACTTGGCTCTGACCGTGTCTACTTTTGACACCGGCATCCATAAAATCGATGGAGACTGAGTCTCCCGGCTGGTCTGGAATAGGCAAGGGTCTGAGAAGTCCTAGAGGGGCGCGCGTAGTGGTCTTGTTTCTCTGGCAAACTTTGCAACTGCGGACATACTCTATGCAGTCAGCTTTCATCCCTGGCCAGGTATACGCACGCATAAGATTGGCTAAGGTCTTTTGCCAACCAAAATATTCCTCTGTGTCATGGCATTCCCCTAGGATCAGACTACGGATCTTTTCACTGTTGGGAATGCATAAACGGTCGAATACATTAGCCTTCTCAAATAATAGTCCCTCAGTAGTGTGGTAATCTGGTTCGGTCTTTGGGGCCTCCTTGACTCTCTTGAGGAGGTCGCTGTAGATAGGGTCCTGCGCATATGCCTGTCTAACTTTCTCTTGCAGGTCTCTCCCTATATCCAGATAGTGAAGTATGGCTCCAAAGTAGTCTGATCTCCTACTCAGAGCATTCGCAACTACGTTGTACTTGCCTTTGACCTGTTTGAGCTCAAAGTCATACTGATCTATTTCAGCGGTCCACCTAGTCAACTTAGGTGTCATTTTGGTCTGGGTCTTTAACCATCTAAGCGTTTCGTGGTCTGAGTACACTTTGAAGTGCCTCCCAAGCAGGTAATGCTTCCAGTGCACTAGAGCCTGCCTGAGAGCGTAGAGTTCTCTCTCATACGTGGAGGTAGCGACCTTCTCTGAAGGCATCCTTGCGGACATGAACTCTACGGGTCTATAGCCATTGTCGTCGTCTTGCTGCAACACGACACCTATCGCATACTGGCTTGCATCTGTGGTGACGACAAATGGCAAAGACGGATGAGCTACTTTGAGGACTAGATATTCTATCAGTGCGCGCTTCGGTTTCTTTAGTGTAGATGTACAATCTTTGTCCCATTGCAATATTGCCTCTTTCTTTAGCAACCTGCACAAGGGAGCGGCGATAGTGGAGAAGTTCCTCACGAACTTCCTATAGCCCGCAACTCTGTCAATGTGCGGGGCGTCGGCCAGTCTCTGATTGTCGCTATCTTGCTGTCCTCTGGCTTAATGCCATCTCCGTCTAGTACGTGGCCCAAGTACAAGACTTGTGTCTTGGCCCACTCACACTTCTTCGCGTTAATCTTGAAGTTAGCGTCTCTCAGCTTCTCCAAAACTTGCCTCAAATGACCCTGATGCTCTTGGAGGGTCCTGCTGAAAACTAAGATATCGTCTAAATAAACTACTACAAACTTGTCTAACCAAGGTCTAAACAGATCGTTCATACAACGCTGAAACGTAGCTGGCGCATTGGTCAGTCCAAAGGGCATCACTATAAACTCATAATGCCCATATCTGGTCCGGAACGCAGTCTTATACTGATCATCAGATATGATCATCAGGATGGACTTTTATCTGATGGTATCCGGACTTCAGATCTATCTTAGAGAAATACTTGCAACCCTGCACCCGATCTAGAAGATCGTCTATCCTGGGCAGCGGTTCAACATTCTTCATAGTAATCGCATTTAGACCCCTATAGTCTATACACATACGAAGCTCTCCTTCCTTTTTGGGGACAAACAGGACTGGTGCTCCAAAAGGAGACGAACTGGGCCTGATCCAACCTTTCTCGAGGAGCTCGTCTAACTGCTTGTGTAGCTCCTCTAACTCTCTAGGGGACATTCTGTAGACTGCTCCCTTAGGAGTTCTACTGCCAGGCTCTATCTTTATCCTGTGCTGGATGGGTCGCGACACTACTCCTGTCGGCGACTCAGTTAAGTCTTTGAACTCTTCCAGCAGCTTGGCTATGGCTGGATCTATGGAGCTCACCTCTTCCTTAGGCTCAGTGACAAGTCTAACATAAACTACAAAGACCTGTTCTTCTAACCGCTCCTTCTTCACTAACCGCGCAAACGCGGGAGCACTGAGACAGCAGTGTGCCAAGGTGTTGTCTACACCTGACACATGAAACAGGCGGGCAGTCTTAACCTCGCCTGATGGACTAGGGAGCCTACACTCATGCTCTCTCAAGTGGAGTGTGGCCCCTGCTGCCTCTCCCCAATCCATTCCTAACACTATGTCGAAAGGAAGGTCATCCTGTATGATTCTCCACCTTCCCATCTTTCTCTAGGCGAAAGTACGCCTGGACTCCCTCTGCGTAGTCCTCAACTCGCATCGTGCGGTTGTCTGTGAGGACACTGACTATGGGGTCTTCCAATTTCTTGACTTTTAATCCTAGCCTCAACTTTTTCAGCGCCCTATGGCTAATGTAACTACAGGTAGCCCCTGAGTCTATAAGGGCCCCTACTCTGCTTCTAAATACTTCTACATCTACCAAGATCAGTTGTCCCTTGCTCTCCTTCTTCATTTTGGCCCAGGCTGGCATCCTCTTCTTCAACTCTTCTGCCACGCCTGTGAGAGACGTGCCTAGAGAGACGCTAACACAACCAGTCTCTGGACAACTAGCTAAGCACGGGCCTGCAACCTTTGCCATAGGCTCATGTGGTTTTGGAGTTTCCTGTATGCGTGCGCTCGCTTCCCCACATGGCCTTGAAGTGGGGGCAGTTGCAACCCCTATTGGCGGCTGCCTTTTGATTGTTGGGCAGCCCATCGGGCCTGTCTGTACTTAGGACAAAATTTAATTACATGGGCCGGGTCACCACAGAATACGCACTGACCCTGGTCCACGCGTTCCTGCCATACGCGTTGGTCCATGCCCAAATCTTCCCAGGGCCTGCCCTGTGGCAAGCCTGGGTGCCATCCTCCTTGAGGTGGCCTTCCGCCTCGTCGTTGTGGGGACCGACAAGAACCCTGGCGATTTGGCGGGGGACCTTGACCCCTACCTCCCACTTGGCAACTCCCTTGTCCGCCAACCCCCTGTGCGCCCGGTCCTCGGCCTCCCATGGCCTGGCCCCTTTGGCCCTGGCCTCCTCCTCTACCTTGCGGCCTCCCTCCAGCCACGACAGCCGCATAAGACCTCCCCTGCCCTATGCTGCTGTCATCCTCCTCTAACCCCCACTCAATCTCACTGTAGGGGACTTCATCAATACCACCTTCTTCTAAAGTAAGGATCATGTGATCCTTGGCCCTGACTTGGCCAGAGATGGTACGGCCTTTCCACTTTTTCCCCTTATCCAAGTCCTTATGCCAGAAAGTGGACACTGGCATGGACTTTGACTCATACAGGACCACCTATCTACTCAGTACGTCATAGGTGATGTCAACCTATTGAGACCTATCAAAGAAATGCCCTCTCAGGGGCTCTGGCATGGCACGATAGAATAACTGGACCAACCGGGGCTCAGTGACCCCATGGTCTGGGACGGCTACCAAGTCGTCCATGACGCCCTTGAGTGCTCTCGCACTCCTCCACTGTCGCGAGTGGATAGTTTGTAGCTTGTCAGAGGCTCTAACGCCTCTCGTTGGGTCAGCAAATCGCTCCCTCAGGAGCTTGAAGAAGTGAAGAAGGGGGGTAACCTTAGAATATGCAACCAGGTTGTTTTCACAACCGGCTGCGAGCGCAAGGGATCTAGCAAAGCTAGCCGCCTCGTCCTTGAGGGCCTAGGAGGCGATGAGGACTTGCTCCTCAGTCAAGATGTGTTGTAAGTATATATAGCTGTCGACGCTTGCCTCCCAGTTATCGAAATTCTCCTCCCTCTTCCCGCCGTATGCATCTGGGAATTTCAGTTTGATGAACTCTTTGCGAGGCCTAGCCTCACTATCGACAATGGCTACCGCTTTGGCACCCTCGATGGCGCCCTCACAGAACTTCCCCACGTTGTCCCTCAATCGCCTAACTTCGCCTCCAACGTGGGTGACCATATCGCGCGCGAAATCTCTAAATCCTGACCGCATGGCACTCACTGATACCTCTTGAGCCCTGTTGGCTTGACGTTCCTCCATCCAAGCCGCACTCAACACCTCCAGGTACCCCAACATCTTATCCATTTTGGCCGAGATGTCTGTCTGCGCTTGTACCTCTTGTGTACAATCTTTCACCTTCGCCACCTCTGTGGTCAGTCTATTAACTTCATCCCTCCTCCTCTTCTTTTCCCTCTTCATTCTCAGTTTCCACTCCAACTTCTTTTCTTCTTCCCTTTCTTGCCGTTCCAGGGGGTCCTCGAGTGTCGCTAGCTCGCTGGCTAACGCATCTCTCTCATCCTGGGGCACATAAAACTCCGCCTCCTCATCTTCCCCCAACGATAAGTTAGCTATCCACCCGCTAATCTTCTTCTCCATCTCTGCATCTTCATCCCTCTTCGTGCCACTACTCTCCTCTCTTCCTTCAATACGCTTTCTCTCTTTTTCTTCTCCTGCTGCTGCTTCCTCTTTGGCAGCTTTTCTCCTCTCTTCCTCCTCCTGCTGAACTCTCTTCATCTCCTCCTCCAATTTCTTCATCTTCGCTGCCTGCTCCTCTGTGATTGCCTTTAGCTTCGCCTGTTTCTGGAGCTCTTTCCTCTCCCTATTCTCTCTCACTAAGGCGACCATCTTCTCTTGCTGCTTTTGAGTATAGGGGCTAGTACTCGTCCCACTACGGGTCTCAACCATGGTGATAAGTGCACAACTGAATTGACGGTTCCAAACCTCACCATGTAGACTCTAACCCCTGACTGACAGACTAGCTGACTCAATCTAAGACTCACAGAATCCGGACAGGGATCCTGTCAACTAGGTTCTCTAGCCTAGACCTATACTATGGCTGTCACTACTAGACCTGTTGCTGATCAGGAGGCATTTAAGGAGATCCCCTGTAACTCCTTATGGATTATTTAACGTCGCAGACAGGATGACGCGATCAGCAGGTCTCTCAACACTTAGACAGCCTGTTGTGCAACCCACAGCTAGGATTTTGGGCCTACCGTGCCACACCGAGCAGCCCGCCGGTCGGTACCGGTCCTTGGGAGGGTTAGGCCTCCGGACAGTCGAGTTGTCAGACACAGTCTTTAGCCCTACTCAGCCCGTGTGGGTTTCGTCAATAAGGCCCTATCCTTCATCCACAGAGTTCTATCACCTGGACAAAAGAGACTCGATGCAGAAAGAAGAGACAGACAGACTGGACTCAGCAAGTACCACAGGGTGTGTGCACATCCATAGGACGAGGGGTAGGTTGGAGGCTTGGCGAGATTATACCGGCTCCAGCTTGGTCAAACTCATGGTCAACGGTCTTGGTCAACGTCGATCAACGCTGCACTCAACCCCCGGTCACCTCCGGTCAACCCCCGGTCAACCCTGGTCAACCCTGGTCAACGTCGGTCAACGCTTGGTCAACTCTCCCGGTCAACTCCTCTAGCCGGCTATGGCTGCCGGCTTCTCTTTCCCGCACCAACGTCCCTCTTCTCTTCACCTTCCTCGCCTCCTTTC